ATTATACCAAGACCTCTAAAAACTTTATCATCTTTGCCTTTACAGTCTGTGTAGAGAATTTCACGGTTCTATCTATAACTGGTTATGTTAATCTTCGACGTCGACTAAGTAGATCTTAGTGTCGGCAAGAAAGTGTTAATCCCATTTTAATATGACTAATTGTGTGTTAGTTGACGGTGACTACCAAACAACGGCATGTCTGTGGGTGGAACTGCAATTAATAATGACTAACCAGAGTACCTTGAGCTTTGGGGCAATATTTATAGAAGCTGCTACATCAGCTGTTTGTACTGGGTATGTAAAGCTAATTAAGATGTATGAATACAAAAATGGTAAGCTGTGTAGGTGCACCAGAACAGAGAAGTCATTTGTCACACAAATCAGAGGGTCGGTATATGGCAATAGGCTCACCCCATATTACATGGGACTTACAACATAAATAGTGAAAAGTGGGTGTTACATTGTACAGTGGCATTAAGTGCTGAAATGTGCACCTCTGCCTACCCCTTCGGGAATAAAAAGGCGTGATGTTATGTATGTATGTCAAACAGAGGGCAAATGTTCCTGGTCGAGACCTGAATTCACGCAAAAATGTAATCATTAGTTTTTTCATCATAGTATTCAGATATGAACTGATTTGGATTGTTTATTGTTTTTTTTTTTGTGTCATGTATCTAAACAGCATGGAGCTAAAGTCTACAATGAAGTCCACTGTCCAGTGTTTAGTAATAATTTTGCCCTCGTATAGCAACTTACCAATAAAAGTTTCAGGGAACCGTTGGATACATGTCGCTTCCAGATAGTCGATTTAGAAGTCATGGAGGAGAACTGTGATGAACATTAGATGTCTTTTTTTTTTTTTTAAGGGGGGAAAATCGTCGAATGACTGCTCCCGAACATTAGATGTCTAGTAGTTGATACATATTATTATGATGACGGTAGTTGATTAATCCAAGTCCAACTCAACTAATGATACGTCTTTTCCAATACAATAAGTATTTGAATCACCTAAATACAAATAATTGGTTTCAAAGAAACAATGTATGGTCGTGTAGTAAATATAAGTCTATTTTTAGCTTTTACAACTAATATATTGAAGTTTAATAGCCAAGTGCCCACTTAGAAAGTGATAATACACAAAGGTCAAATTTTAAGGTTACGAGTTCCATTGATATCTTTACTTCCGACGTATACTATTTCATAATGTACAGTTTGTATGACGCCAATGCTTCCACTTGTAATGGACTCTCAACTTTATGGTTTTATTGTAAAGTTGACATTTCATTAAAGTTATTTGGTGTATTATGATCTGCTTGTGTCTGTATTTACTTGAGTCTTGTCACCTACTTCGCAGCATTGTTGTTTATCAGCAACATTGATTTATGAACTATTTTATTGCTTACTTGGATGAGTCTTTGCAAGTGCATGAGGGTTCGGGTATGATTCTTAGGTAGGTACTCCCGATTTCATAATTTTTAATTGCCCGCCAGAACCTCCCAAAACCGCTGCAACTCCTGTAAGCCAGGATCTACAGTAGATACAACCATAAAAACACCGGAACACTGAAGTCCGGCGCGTCCCAGGGACATGAATAATTATCTTGGTTCCCGCAACGAAGTGAATCAGAAGACAGGAGAAAAAATAAAAACGATAGTTTCCACTTCCCTCGATGAATTACTGCAGGAGACAGAATGAATTAAGCCTAAAGGCACAAAAAAGAGACCGTACAAGTGGGAATGCTTTATTAGTCGAAGAATAACACTTTAACTGGAACTGAAGAACATACATAATGAAAGCTTAAAACTGTGGTCTCCAATCATAGAGATTGTGGCATACCTTTTAGAGGCGGCTAAAAGCTTGATCGTTTCGCCTCCTCAATATTATAAGCCTGCAAATTGACATGACATAAACATTTTCGTTACACAAATGTTAAAATTTATAATAAAGCGGCAATTTCCGAACATAATAATTAAGAAAACATATTAATAAAACGTTAAATTGACCGAATAAGTGCAGTGCGCGCCCCTTCCTCCATTACCATACAAAAGTCGTAAATTAAAATTTGTTATTGCCACATGTAGTAGGTACGGGGCTGTCGGCCGTATGTTCGTTTATTTATTGGACAATTTTGTGGTTTTCTAAACGTTTTGTAGTCTTGCAGTTTTTTTTATGATGCACATTTTCAATTACGTGTCGCTTTTTTATTGCAGGACGTCTCGCTGATCTCTCATGACTACTCACCTAATATGACTTCCTATATCATTATTAAAAGCTTCCAGTAAGACCTATATTTTAACTAAACCTAGGTGTAGCGACACATGACACATTGACAAATGATAGAAAACCCGAGTAGATGATCAACGATCAAATCAATATTACAACAAAAATCCTACATCGCCCATTATGTGAAGATTATGTGAAAAAACATGGAATCCCAACAAACAACAGTTGGGCCAGAAAACCCGCCAGGTACGATTACCTCGCCTGGTTGGAGGATCCTTTTTCGATTTTAGGAAACTAAATAGTCTATTCTTACTTGTCTTGTTAGTTTAAAAATAATTTTAGTAGCACGGAGCCTACTTTAACTTACAGTTACCATTCCAGAGCTATAATATGGGATTCATAAGTGAACCGCTAAAAGTGGATGTAACCCTTTTTTGTGGGTGAAAAAATTTTTTATGGGTCCTGCCCGGGTAAGTCAAGAGGTCAGACTCCTACTGACTAAAATCCAACCCGTTCCGCCTGCATATCGAGCCGGATCCCCGGCAACCCGTTAAGTCCTCTGCGACTATTGGGCCCCATCTATGGTGTTCTGATATAACCCTTAACATTAATTATGTGCACTGTGCATATAGAGGTACACTCTGTAAACCTTTGTTAAACACTTCTCGAAATATACGGCGTGCTTTGTTGCTATGTATATCTTACTATATAGCTACCTATCTGGTACTCTTATCATAACATAACATCACGCCTTTTATCCCCGACGGGTATGCAGAGGTGCATATTACGACACTTAATGCCACTGTATAATGAAACACCCACTTTTCACTATTTATGTTATGAGTCCCATGTAAAAGAGGGGAAAGCCTATTGCCATATACCGGGCACAATTCAAGACTCCGTGCTACTACTGAGATTTTTAAAAAACCCCATATTACTTTGCGCGACTTGGGAATCGAACCCAAGACCCCTTGCGACCACTTGCGACCACTCGGCCAACGAGGCAGTCAGGTACTGTTACTAGATATTAGATAAGTATGTACCTAGATACTTACTTTGCCAACTCATTGCTACCAGCCTCCAATCACAAACTAAGCTACCACGACCCATCGATCATAGATTATCCAGCCTATCAATAACTCCGATGTATTCTATGCGTGACTTATGTAAAAACTTTATCTATTGCAGGTGTTAGGTACGTTAAGTATATGTAGATATATCTACATACACCTAATGAAGACTGTCTCGTTGGTTGACTGATCGCATTTTATTTATTCGTCAGCTTTTCGAAATTTCTTAGTAGTGGCACGAACTTTGGAATTGTCCCTAAATGTACGGCAATAGGTTCGCCCTCATAGAAGTTGTGGTTATTACGGTCTAACTGCTCAGCCTACCTCTTTGGAGATTAAAACGCGTAACTTTGTGTTAAACTAAGTAACTTATCACACTAATCACACTTAATATACCTAATAAATGTTAAAGTTTCTTTGTTTGGATTGGATGTTTGGACATTTTGTCCGTCAAACATGCTGAAACTACTCAACGAATTTTAATGTTTGGTATACAGGCAGCGTATGGGCTGACTTTGGTGATAAAATAGGTACTTTTTATCCCGATTAAATGCTTCCACGGTACGAAACAGGAATACGCGGGTAAAAGCTAGTACCTAATACATACTTAGTTAAAATTCAAACTCACTTATTCAAAAGTTAACAATCTAACACCTAATAGAATGTAAATAAGAATAATTTGATAAGGCATGTGGCCCAATAAACTTCGATAAAATAACTTATAATAAAATAGCCGACTAATTTATGTTTCTAAAAAATTGGCTCCAAAACACGCACCGTGCCGTGTAAGTTTGAACTGGCGTCTTTTTGGTCTCCTGCTGAGCTCTTGGCATTAACAACTAATAGCTGTATGTTAATCGACAGACGATCATTGTCGGCAATCACTTCGGAAATAAAAAAAAAACTGGAGCGTCATACGATATCTCGAAAGATAAAATTCGTAATCCGTTCCACGTATTGAATATCGACGGATAGACATAACACGATTGTTAGATGTTTTTTTTTGTTTGTCAGTTTTGTAATCAAAGTCATCAATAAAGGCTAACCAGCATTGTACCTAATAATAGGTATGAGGTGAACAATGCCGTAAGTCTCGATTATTTCTCTTGGTTTTAAGATACATAGAATGTTAATGGTGCTTACAAACAATTTATTTTAAGTTATTTACGATTACGAATACTCAAAATCTTTGATGCTTTATTTTTATGCAAATAAGTACAATTAGTAAGGTATGAAGCGACATCTATTGTCGAGTAGTGATACAGTCCGCTGCCCTTTTTAGTTCTTTTTGACCGCAATAGATGGCGATTGGATCATATGTAAATTATGAATGTATCAAAAATTTGTAAAATAATTACAAAAATAATAAGTAACGTAACATGATTCTAACAAAAATTACTAGATAAACATTTATAAAGCAGTTCAAGAACTCAAGATTTTCTTGAAGGGCAACACTTCTATTATGCCACTGTCAACTGTCATTTTGACAAATAAAATCACGATGTGTCAACCTGGTTACGAAAATCCAACTTGTTTACAATAATAATTTCTAATATTAATTTTTTACTGTTTTTACTCTATTTATAGTCAAAATTTGGAATATTTTCAAGAAGAAAATGATGCACGAAGTGTATAATATTCCTGAATCCACCACTTAATCTAATTTCACGCCCATATTTATAAATTTCTCAGAGGTCATTCGCAGAAAAGATCATTTTCGTGGTAAACAATGAATATAACAAGATTACACATGACAAAGCAACTTCTTAGATACGCAGTGCTTGTAAAAAATGTCCAAAGAATGATCCCGAACAGTGATTATTACTCTACAATGACTTTAGATGCATTTGCAAATGAGATATTCGAGCGGCATAAAACTGCCAAATTTCAGAGAAGTGATCTAGCCGAAGCGAATATACAGCGTTGTACGTATACAAGTGATAAAACTAACTTATGTTCAATGACTAGTATAGACTTGGAGAACAAATTTACAGAACTAATTGGGAAAAACTGGGACAGAGATGTAGTGGAACTTATAAATCAATGTAAGGAATGCAAGAAATTACTGACTTATGCTACAGTTAAGAAGCTTTTTAGACATTACAGTATGAATGGGAGACCGGAGAAGGTTGCCGTAATACAAGAATACTGTTTGAAAGTTGATCCTGTCTCATATAGAAGAAACGGAGAGTTCCTACACTATTTAGCCAAGGCTGAATGCATAAAGGGCAATTCTGACAAAGGATTATCAATCCTAAAAAGTTGTTATAAGAAATATGATAGTTTAAGAAGTTTTTATAGAATTATATTTAGAGAATTAATTCAAGATTCAGTATTAAATCGATCGGAAGCGTCGTTAGTTATATTTAAGAAGTATGTATTACAGTTTAGTGATGAATGGTCTGACCACTACCCTCTGGTTTGCTTCTGGCATATTTGTTGGGCCAGCAATTGGTTTTCTGACCAGATGCTGGGCGATGAACTTTTGGAAACATCTGATGTTCTTTTAAGCATTATTGGAGAAAAGTGAGTAATATTATAAAAATTTAACCTGCAATATTTTAAGCTAAGTTATGGGCCTTTGTGAGTTTATGTACACTAAGTATAATTCCAGAATTCAGATTTTTTCAATAACTCAAAAACTATAACTACATAACATCACACCTTTTATTCCCGAAGGGGTAGGCAGAGGTGCACATTATGCCACTGTACATTGTAACACTCACTTTTAACTATTTATGTTATTAGTCCCATGTAATATAATGTGAGCCTATTGCCACTAACCCACTAATACTTTGCCCGACCCGGGAATCAAACCCGAGACCCCTTGCCCGGCAGTCGCACTTGCGGCCACTAGGCCAACAAGGCAGTCTTCTTCTCAACTATAACTAGTACTGTTCCTTACCACTAGCACAACATTTTATTTGAAGCTAATATGCAATATCTTCTAGATATTTCTTAATTATATTGTACTAAATCAGACATTTCACCATGTTTCAGGGCAACAGCTTTCAGTATAATGGCCCTAAAGGACTTCAATGAAGACGCAGTGGTCAGATTACTGCAGACTTTACTTAAATATGAAATGATGACGGAGTATGTAGCTGTGTTACAAGTGTTGTTCAATTATAAATGTAAGTTATGGCTTGTTTCTGCCATTGTATTATGAAATAGGTTGACAGAAGTTCTGTGAGCACTGATCGTAATTATGCAATCAAATCAAAATTACCATAACATTACACCTTTTTATCTTAGAAGAGATAGGCAGATATGCACTTATTGAAATAATGTAAATAACACTCACATTTATTTTATGGGTACCATGTTATTGAGGGTGACCCTATTCAAATATATCTAATTGTTATTCTAGTCTGTGTACCTAAATATGAACCCTCGCAGTACTTTGCTTTACATGGGACTCGAACTCCAATCACAACGACAATATCACATATCAGCTGTTACTTATGCACAGTTTTTTTTAAGGGGGAAAATCATTGAACGACTGCTCCCGCCTGGGTGAGGTGGAAGGGAGTGTCAGACTCTTATTGACTAAAAACCACCCTGTTCCTACTCCTGCCCTTCAAGCCGGAACACCGGCAACCCATTAAGTCCTCCGGGGCTCCATATCGGCATCAGCCCTGTTGGGCCCCATCCGTGGTGGTCTGATGGCTCTTTGATGCGCGCGAGGAACGCGACGCGCCTTACGCTCGGGTCTGGTTTTGGTCGGGCGGCGAGCCACCCATGCTCGACGTCCGTAGGCCCGTGCTTACGGTGGCCGGAGATCGTCCCGCGATCCCCGGAGTGTTCTTCGCGACGGCTGGGTTGTGAGGAGGCAGCGCTTCGCTGCCTCATGCGCCCCGCCTCCTCCTTAGCTAACATGGCTGCTTCGCAAAAGGAGGAAACGGCATCCCAGTCCTTTTCGCTCCGCAACATGACCCGGACTAGGACTAGGGACCTTGGATCACTGTGACCCTCTGTGACGTGAGCAGCGCCCGTAGAGGCCCATAGACCGCACGACCCCGGCGTATAAACTCCTCTCCGAGGTTAGGTAGGAGGCGCTTAAGCGCCGCCCCCGTTCTTTCCAACTTAGGAGCCAAACGTCGAAAATGCTCCACGAAGTTCCACCGACTGTCGAGGACGAGTCCCATGTACTTCATCGTCGTCTGGACGCCGATGGTAACCCCTCCCGCAGTTATTTGGACTTGCGGAGCACCACCTCGAGTCCCAGTTGCCGGATTTTATCAACCACTCGCAACCGCTGTCGCCATCAAATTGGCTGCCTGGTGCGACCTCCCGTGCGCTAGCACCAGTGTGTCGTCGTCGTAGCACACGATGCCGACGCTGTTCGAGAGGTTAGTGTGCAGCATCCAGTCATAGACGATGTTCCACAGGAGCGGCCCCATAATCCCCGTCCCCGTGATCAGTAATAGTCTTATGAATGACTATTACTGGTCACCTGATGGTAAACAATCGGCGTCGTCCATGGACATCTGGCCACCACATTCGCAACAAGTACGTCACCGACCTTTTGGCAATTAAAACTTCCACTGTTAGTTATTTAATGTATTTACCACATGACCCCAATATTATAGGTACTCCGTTTTCTCGTTTCTACAGGGGGGCTCGGTTTCCCGACCGGGCTGGACAAAGCACCTACTTATTGGAGTTTTCTCAGTTTTTCCGCAAAATTCTCTATCACTATGTTATCGTCAATTCTATTAAAATGTATCTGCTTTAATTTACTTACTTTTTAACTTCATACCAAATTACTTGCCTGACTGTAACTCTCTCCCTCTCGTCTTTCCCCCCCTCTCTCTCCCCCTCTCCCCCCCTCTCTCCCCTCCCTCACTCTCTCCCTCCTCCCCTCTCTCTCTCCCTCCTCCCCTCACCCCGTCTCTCTCTCTCTCTCTCTCCTCCCCTCTCCCCGTCTCTCTCTCCCTCCCTCTTTCTCTTTCTCTCTCTTAACCTTTTACTTTTATTTTCAGTAAGGAACAGAGATATTCGAGGCTGTACAGAGATTATTAGAAATTGTGAGGTCCTTGGCGTGACCTTGCCATCGAATCAACAAGGGAGATACATCAAAATGCTGATCGATGACAAAAGTCAGAAATGGACCAAAGAGCCGACGAAAACACCCTTGAAAGACTTCAAACTCAAGTTTTAGAATTTTTTATACGATTTTTGTCCAGTGTGTATTTATGTAAATAGTTGTACAAAATAAATTAGGAGTAGTATCGATTGTTGTTCATTTGTAAAATTGTACCATCTACCTCTAATATCTAAAGAAACCTTTCTGTAAGACGGTAGCTAAATATTGGGTAAATCCACATGAGTTAATACGACAAAGGGTTTTAGATTTGGCGATCTTCCACCGACCTCTTGCCAAGTTTGAAAATTATGAGAAACCGGGAGGAGGTCCATAAAAACTCACATTAAACTATGACGGACTGCTGATGTTACCCCTATTTAAGGAAGGGTGCGTACTTTTATGAGTTGAACACCAATTGCCGTGACAGCACGCGCGCAGCTCGCGATCTTCACATTTGCGGCACATTCCCCAGATGTAGACGCACCCTAAGGAAACCAGATTGACAATAAAAATCGCTAAACAAAGACAGGTGTCTATTGTCAATCATTATGACGATTTTTTAAGGGTAGAAATTCTACTGACTAGAAACCGCCCCGTTCCTACTGCTGCCCTTCGAGCCAGAGCCCCGGTAAACCGTTAAGTCCTCCGCGGCTCCGTATTGGCATCAGAAGTAGGTAAGGTAGAATGTAAATAAAACACCATTTTTTTTAACTTACATTTTATTGGGCATAGGCATTCGTTCGGGTAAGTGTGTCAAATTAATATATACACGGTTCTGTACAAACCTTAATTTTATTGAGATTTTTCACAATATTATAACTAAAATTACTAATAATAATAATAACGCATTAGCGACCCCGCGGGCTACCATCATCCCGAGTGCTCCTGGGAGGAATAGGTCTCCCACCTCGGGCTTGCGTTCATTGGCCGTCCAGAGTGGAGTCGCGAAAGCAGTGATCCTGCTCGGAGGGTAAGAAACTAATCGTATGTCGCGAGTGGGCCAGTGATGCAGGAGGCTTCGGCTGGAGCAGATGATCTGAGTAGAAAGCGGTGGTAGTTTCTTAACCCTTCAGCCACTCACATTCTCGTTGTTCCTCTGTTCCTCTAGCAACCATTCCCGGGGCCCGGTCAGTGAGTTGGCAAGTCTCCGCCTGCCATTTTTACGTGTAATAATTACATTGTTTTGGTAAGTGCCATAGTCATCCATAGTTCCCAATTTACCGGTCCACAACAACCCATCCATACTCTACTGTAGCCGCACCGCACGACTACATACCTACCAGTTACCAGTACCACCGAATACCTTTCCATATACCAGATACCTTCCACAATACCTTTACCAAAGTTATAGACTCACTTCGTTTAAAGAAACAAGAAACCAATTGTCTTGAAAAAGACAGTTTACGTTTTGACTCCGTTTTAAGAAACCAGAAACCAATTGTCTTGAAAAAGACAGTTTTCGACTTTCTTGCATAGAAACGATAATCATCACTGCGGCAACAGCGTTATCACACCGTGCCGCGAGCGATCGCTTCGAAAGAAGCGGTTTGGTAAAGCAAGCAGCCAAGCAGCGCAAGCGGAGCCGGAGCCGGAGGCCGGAGTACTTGCATTCATCTTCATTCTTCATTCATCTGTAGGTAGTCTTCAGTCTTCACTCGACGCCGGCTCTCGGAGAAATGCGCGCGCTCGCGCCGCGCGGTCATACTTATACGGAAGGAACCGATAGTGCCGTGTGCAAAGCGGCGCCCCGCACCCCGCGCGCCCCGCGCACGCCGGCGCGCCGCTATTGGTCGAAACTATCACCTAACTATATCTGATCTTGTCTAGTTGTAAATATGTAAATAGAAATATAAGTAGCGTAGTTTGGCGAAATAAAATCATTCTTGTCAACACCTCTCATCGGAGTTTCACTACTACTAGAAGATAAGAAGAAACCTCCTCTAGGACACTAGGCTCTCCTACCTAGCTCCTAAACTACCTTTATTTTTTCCATTATCCACAACAGTTCTACACAAACCGGCGACTATGAGTCCTTGGGTGTATTTCCATAGTGCATACAGGGATAGTCGCCGGTTTGTGTGTTCGTTACATTTAAAGCTGTCTAAAGGGCCTCTGCGCAGTTGGCTTCGGCCCCTCGTACGGCCCCCCAAATGACCGGGACCCTGTGGTTCCGTGAATAGTAAAGACAAACATAATAACGCTTAAAAATAATAAATATATTTATCAAAAACGAGTGATTTCATTTTCCTTCGGTTTTGGTTCAGGCGTTGCTTGTTCGCGCTCGTCTTTTCTTCGAAGGGTGAAAAGTGTTCTATGGATGAAAGAGAAAAAAATTAATTAATAATGATGCTTAATCATAATTCTTCGTATAGATACTTAAAATTAGTTAAAGTAATACGTCAAAAATATTTAATGTTAGACGGTTTTAATGAACTCTATTCTACCAATCAAGCCCTTTCGTTTGATATCCATAATGGAGGTAATTGTAAAATAAAAAATATTGTATGATCATCAATATTAAGCGTGTGTACCAAATATCAGATCGATCTGCCGTCAGGAAAGGTGTAAAAATCTAATTACTAAATTTAACCTGAACAGACAATCGGGGCGAGCTAAATAAAACTATTTAAAAACGTTCGTCCAAATACCCTGATATTCCTACTAGCGGGTGCCGTAACCGAGCAGCTCTCTGATAGATACAGGGCCGGATTTAGGGGGAGGCAACCGGGGCGAAAGCCCGGGGGCCCCCACAAGCAGGGGGCCTCCACAATAGACTTCGGAAAAAAAATCTTTCAAATTTCAACTAGTAAACCTAGTAAACATCTTTTCTTTGATATTTTTTTTTCGCTTTTACCTTTACCTACAGCCTAAAGTACTTTATACATACATGATTATTTGATTATATTAATTTTAAATATTAACAGAAACAGAAATCATTGATCTATATTTGTTCACTCCAATCAGGCAATCAGTGAAATATCAAAATCTCTAATGGCTCTGATAAGCACTTCCAATTTACTACCCATCCTGAGGGAGTACCCCAATGGCTCAATGGCTCAGTGAGATGGTACTTGCCCGCAACCTCGGAGGTTGGCTATTCGATTCCGTGTCTCGGCCATTAAAAAAATTAATTGCAGTATGTGAACAATTGGTATTCTTCAATTCTTAAACTCAAAATCTGTCGAGCGTCCTTTTTTTTTTATAATTGATGGGGCGACGGATGACCACTATCTCACCTGATGGTAAGCGATGATGCGGTCTACGTTGGAGCACGTCGTCCCATAAGCAACCTATTCACTCGGGCCTTGAAGACTCCCAGGTTATACCCTTCAGGAAATACAGACTCTGGCAAAGAATTCCACTCTTTAGCAGTACGCACAAGGAAGCTTGAAGCGAAGCGCTTCGTGCGTGTGGGCGGAACATCTACCATGAATCGGTGACGCTTCGCGGATTGTCTTGTGGTACGATGATGGAAAGGACTAGGGGGAATCAAGTTGTGCAATTCCTCCGCACACTCCCCGAAATGTATCCGGTAGAAAACCGAAAGGCTTGCAACCTTACGCCTGTGTTCGAGGCTTTGAAGCCGAGCCTTCACAAGCGCATCATCGTCGATGAGCCTCCTGGCACGCCTCTCAATGTGCTCTAACGCGTCCAGCTGATATTTAGCCGAGCCGTCCCAAAGATGAGAGCAGTACTCCATACAGGACCGAACCTGTGCTTGGTACAGGCTCAGCAATTGTCTCGGCGTGAAATACCGTCTCACCCTCCATAGGACACCCAACTTCCTACCTGTCAGTTGCGCTTTTGACTCTATATAGGAGCCAAAGTTGAGCGTGGGCGTCAGAGTTACACCAAGAAGCTCAAGACGATCGGTTATCGGTACGGATACATTCCGGAAAGTAGGAGTCAGCGGAAATTGACTCCGTTTGGCGGAGAATAGACACGCCTGGGTCTTGCTAGCATTGAACCTAACCAAGTTGGCGTCACCCCAGTCGGACACCGCCTTCAAGGTCGAGTTCAAACGTTCGACCATGGATTCTCTTAAAGACTGGATCTGTGTTCCGCTAGTCCGCACACCGGACACATACCTTTCAACAACTGTGCTGTCATCTGCATACCCAAAGATACCGGGCTTAAGCAGGTCGTTTATGTGCGAGCGGCCTCGATCGTTTTCGAGCGTCCTCCATTGTTTTCGAGCGTTCTCGAAATCTATCGAGCGTTCTCGAAATCTATCGAGAGTCCTCGATCGTTTTCGAGCGTCCTCGATTGTTTTCGAGCGTCCTCGAAATCTATTGAGGGTCCTCGATCGTTTTCGAGCGTCCTCGAAATCTATCGAGCGTCCTCGAAATCAATCGAGCGTCCTCGATTGTTTTCGAACGTCCTCGAAATCTATCGGGCGTCCTCGAAATCTATCGAGCGTCCTCGAAATCTATCGAGCGTCCTCGAAATCTATCGAGAGTTCTCGATCGTTTTCGATCGTCCTCGATCGTTTTCGAGCATCCTCGATTGTTTTCGAGCGTCCTCGAAATCTATCGAGCGTCCTCGAAATCTATCGAGAGTTCTCGATCGTTTTCGAGCGTCCTCGATCGTTTTCGAGCATCCTCGATTGTTTTCGAGAGTCCTCGAAATCTATCGAGAGTCCTCGATCGTTTTCGAGCGTCCTCGATTGTTTTCGAGCGTCCTCGAAATCTATCGAGAGTCCTCGATCTTTTTCGAGAGTCCTCGAAATCAATCGAGCGTCCTCGATTGTTTTCGAGCGTCCTCGAAATCTATCGGGCGTCCTCGAAATCTATCGAGCGTCCTCGAAATCTATCGAGAGTTCTCGATCGTTTTCGAGCATCCTCGATCGTTTTCGAGCATTCTCGATTGTTTTCGAGCGTCCTCGAAATCTATCGAGAGTCCTCGATCGTTTTCGAGCGTCCTCGAAATCAATCGAGCGTCCTCGATTGTTTTCGAGCGTCCTCGAAATCTATCGGGCGTCCTCGAAATCTATCGAGCGTTCTCGAAATCTATCGAGAGTCCTCGATCGTTTTCGAGCGTCCTCGAAATCAATCGAGCGTCCTCGAAATCTATAGGGCGTCCTCGATCGTTTTCGAGCATCCTCGATTGTTTTCGAGCGTCCTCGAAATCTATCGAGAGTCCTCGATCGTTTTCGAGCGTCCTCGAAATCTATCGAGCATCCTCGATTGTTTTCGAGCGTCCTCGATTGTTTTCGAGCGTCCTCGATTGTTTTCGAGCGTCTTCGAAATCTATCGGGCGTCCTCGAAATCTATCGAGCGTCCTCGAAATCTGTCGAGAGTCCTCGATCGTTTTCGAGCGTCCTCGAAATCTATCGGGCGTCCTCGAAATCTATCGAGCGTCCTCGAAATCAATCGAGCGGCCTCGATCGTTTTCGAGCGTCCTCCATTGTTTTCGAGCGTTCTCGAAATCTATCGAGCGTTCTCGAAATCTATCGAGAGTCCTCGATCGTTTTCGAGCGTCCCCGATTGTTTTCGAGCGTCCTCGAAATCTATCGAGAGTCCTCGAAATCTATCGAGCGTCCTCGAAATCAATCGAGCGTCCTCGATCGTTTTCGAGCGTCCTCGAAATCAAGCGAGCGTCCTCGATCTCAATCTGGAAAATAATTTGGGGCAAGGGGGCCTCCACTCCTTTGTTGCCCCGAGGCCTCTGGACCCCTAAATCCGGCCCTGGATAGATAAATCTGAACCTTTTGAACTACAGACTCTAGCCCGCTTAGCGATGGGCTCGCTGCCATTGCAGCGGTAAGACCACTCTTTGAGGAGTGGCTTGAGAGACGCTACGGCGTCCTCACCTACCGCCTGACGCAGGTCCTCCCGGACATGGAAGTTTCGGGAGGTACCTGTGTCTCATGGGGCGGGAGGAAACGCCCGGGTGTCATCACTGCGAGGATCGCCCTGAGGACACGGTGGAACACACCGTAGCGGAATGCCCTGCGTGGGCTGGGCACCGCCGTGCCCTCAGGGAAGTGATCGGCGATGGCGACCTCTCGCGTCCGGGCCTAGTGCAGGCCATGATGCGGAGCGAGGGGGACTGAGATGCCGTCTCCTCCTTTTGCGAAGCAGTCATGCTAGCTAAGGAGGAGGCGGGACGCGTGAGGCAGCGAAGCGCTGCCTCCTCGCAACCCAGCCATCGCGAAGGACACACCGGGCGTCGGGGATCGCGGGACGATCTCCGGCCACCGTAAGCGCGGGCCTGCGGACGGCGAGCATGGGTGGTTCCCCGTCCGACCAGAAACAGACCCGAGCGTACGGCGCGTCGCGTTCCGCGCGCGCCTCAAAGAGCCATCAGACCACCACAGATGGGGCCCAATAGGGCCGATGCCGATTCGGAGTCGCGGAGAACCTAACGGGTAACCGGGGCTCCGGCTCGACGTGCAGGAGAAGGAACGGGGTGGTTTTTAGTCAGTAAGAGTCTGACACTCCCTTCCGCCTCACCCAGGCGGGAGCAGTCATTCGATGATTTTCCCCCCTTAAAAAAAAAAAAAAAAGCCCGCTTAGCGAGCGTGAAGGTTATAGTAAAATCTCTTTTACGGAGCAAGCTTACAATAGTTTAACTGAGGACCGTTAGAGGACTGCTGATGTCTGCAACTGAAGTTAATAGTCGCAAAAGTGAAGGAAATAGTGACTGAAAATCTCAAATCAACTTTCTGTATCTCACGAGTCGATCCGTACCATTTTAACTAATCATTTGGATATGAAACATGCTACTGCATGTCCCAAAAGATCTGAATTTTCTCCAAAAACTCAATCGCATGAAAGTCGCTGAGGACATGCTAGAACGAGTCAGTTCGGACCCAACATTCATGAAACGCGTTGTTACTGGTGACGACAGGTGGGTTTACGAGTTTGACATGCAAACTAGTCAACAAGCTTCGGAGTGGCGCTTTCCAACTGAACTGAAACCGAAAAAACCACGCCAAAGTCGATCAAAAGTCAAAGTCATGTTGACTGTTTTCTTTGACTATCGCGGTGTTGTGCACTCTGAATTCTGACCAGATGGTGTAACGGTAAATAAAGAATATTATTTGAGCGTTATGCAGCGTTACGTAATTCATACATCATCACCATCATCATCATCAACAGCCGGAAGACGTCCACTGCTGGACAAAGGCCTCCCCCTTCGCCCTCCACGTCGAACATAGGTGTGTATAATTAAATTAAAACTATAGAGGTATTTTATACAGTTACTAAATAACTAGTTTCGGAATTATATTGATTTCATAGGATTCTCATACATTTACGGTAACGTATACATAAAAATTATATGTACCTAGTAAAAGTAAATATTTATTCAGTATTTATAAATATTGATTATTTAACCCATACAGGCCCCGTTTAAGCTATTTTACGCATTTGTTTTTTGACTTCACAAATTTTAGCTAATGTTTGGTCTGCTTCTTCTTATATGTCCGTGGTTCTGACTTATTAGATAGGTAATATTGCTATATCAGTTAGTAAAAGTACCAAGACCTTTATACGTAGTACGACCTTTATACTTAGTACGTAGTAAGAGGTATAATATTAATACTTACAAATATATCGCTATGGCAGGAATGGCGAGTAATGCACTGATGAAGTAGAAGGCACCAGGCATCGTGGACAGGGTTAAGAGGTACACCTTGCTGTATATCGGGGAATAGATCACCGGTATCAACGCCTCAGATATACTTATTAGAGAGCTTGTCTTGCCTGAAACAGAAGAAACAGTATCTAGCTATAGAAGTTTCTGAAAGCTTTTGGACATTCGACATCGATAGACCAACGAGTGAACAATTAGTGTGGTAGTTGGATACTATGGTTTTTTTCTGTGTCATGGATGCGTTTACGAACAGAAACACATGCATAAATGAGAACAACATACTGATTCACGTCATAGTCTCATCCGCTAGATGGAAACGACTTTTAGGTATCATACAAAGAGTTATCCCGTAAATATTTAAGTAGTGGCTGCAGCAGATAATCGTCCAGAAAATGCACTAACCATACAGTCAAATTGCTAGAGTTACCCAAACATTTCACTTATGCAACACTTACGTTTTCTTAATCTAGTGCTTAGGAGCGAGACATACAAAGTATTGGGTCCTAAGTTTGAACCCTGGGGTACTCCTGTACTGGGTTTTAGAGTTAGTATTTTTGAGTGTATGGTAATAGAACCGTTCCTTATTTCATGTTATTAAGAACGGAATAAATAAACAGTGTTTCTAAATGTAGTAAGTACTTAATACGGATACCAATTTTCAATGGGAATAACACTAGGGGTAGTAATGAAGAGCTAAGATTTGAGATAAACTTAATAAAAAAAGAATGGATTTCAGTGAGGCGTTAGAGGCGATTGAACAGTGAAATTGCATAAGTGACGAACTGGTCGTTCACAACATAATGAACCCAATGGATTGGTCATTTTTAAAATACCCAAAGTGCCAAGTATTCAAAAACATTATGGAACAAATGAGATTGAATCAGGTCACGTAGCGTATCCTACCAGCAAAATAATCCAAATATAGCTAAAAACTAATATAAAAAAAACTCACCGACTTCATCAGCATTCACCAACTTAGTAGCAATTGATCGGAGAGAGGTGGCACCAGCAGAGCTGAACATGTCCAGCACCGGGCCCAGGAAATATATGGTCCTGTTGGGAGCCATGGCATACAGCACACTGGCCGCAATCCTACTCAGGCAGGCGATCACACCGATGATGCTGTCATCCATGTTCCATCTTTTGCAGAACAAATATATTGTTATGAAGGAACCTGTGCAAAGAAATGAGGACTTAGAATATGTAGATATAGGTCTACTGATTTTGATACGTCTCGTTTTCTACGTCTAGTTTTGTTAACAATTTACTGAATCTCCCCTGTCGATTGAAGATGGAAAATTGTCGATTGGAAAAAGCTGATTGAATAAGCAGCGGTTCTGGCGTAAGATTTGTGCAATGTTGTCTTGCACCTGGTTTTGCACCCTTGTGTACCCTTCAATGGCCAAGTCACGTTGTGTGACTTATATTAAATAGGTATAATAATAAAGAAATCGCAGTAAGGAACCTTAGGCTTGGCACGACATTGTCTAGATTTCATTACTTGTTAGAGATGAACAAGAGGCTCTTATCGAGACTTCGCTGGTTTTTTACCGAATGTTTTTGGTTGGATTTGATTTGTTACTTGCGATATTTTAATACGCTTTTTAACTATGGTAATCGCTCTTGTTGATTCAGTGGTCTTAAGTTTAATTATGGCAGGGGTTTGTTACTCGTTGTTGAGAGTTGCAAGTTTTTGTTTTATGACGATATAGTCCTTCTGTGGCTAAAAACTAGTAGAGCTTTTCTCCTCAGTATAGAGTAACTCCTAATTTTTAGTTAAAAGAATTATGATAATCTATAGAGAGTCCTCAATGATCCTCAAACTCCTAATCCCCAAAAGGCCGGTAACGAAATTGTAAAGCCTCTGGTGTTCCAGGTGTCCCTGGGCGACGCTTGCTTACCATCAGGTGATCCGTCTGCTCGTTTACCGGCTATGCCATAAAAAAATCTACTCGACTGTAATTTTAATTTATTAGAAACCATTTAAAAGTTTGATAGCATCATCGCTAAATTAATTTAAAGTCATAATAATGTTAATATTTATAAAGAAATGTAGAATTATTATAGGTATTATTGATTTATTTAGGTGGCAGATATTATTAAAACACATTTTTAATTATTGAACAAGTTTTCGAAATTTCTTGCTCACGTTTTGTTGTTATAAATAGCCCAACTAGTTTTTGTCACTGACATACTGACAAAATATTCCACGAAAACGTTTGTATCCTTTTTTGTGCATAGGTATTTTAAATTTATTCGCTCGATGCTATACGAAACTCATGTAAGGTTTCAATTTAATACGAATTACTGCCTCGTTGGCCAAGTGGTCGCAAGTGCGAGGGTTCGATTTCCGGGTCGGGCAAAGTAATGCTGGGATTTTTAAATAAATCTCAGTAATAGCACGGAGTCTGGAATTGTGCCCGGTATATGGCAATAGGCTCACCCCCTATTACATGGGACTCATAACATAAACATAATGTGCACCTCTGCCTACCCCTTCAGGGATAAAAGGCGTGATGTTATGTTATGTTATGGTAAAAATGTTCAATGATATTCTAAAAAGTCTGAGTATCCGATTGCTGTATGTGCAGTTTTATGTCATTCTCTAAATTCTCAGATGAACATTTAATCACTGACTATATCATCCACTTCACAGAAAATAATGCAATATGTATACGTACTACAATTGCAATAAAATTGATGTCACTATTATAGAAATAGTGACGAGGTGCACTTATTTCATCAGCATTACCAACTACTACTAGTTGAATTGATTTTAATGAAATTGGATACACAGATATGTCACGTTAGAAAACTGCCCAACATAAGATGGACATAAGATGATCGTAATTACGTCGCCATCACGTTGGCTTCACCGAGTGTCTTAAAAGAGTAACTCAATTGTCGTATAAACCACTTTTTGGTTAGATAGTGGTTGTGCAGTAGTCACAGCTTATTACTGCAGCTTAATTTACTTTTATTTTTTTATGGCATAAGCCGGTAAACGAGCGGACGGATCACCTAATGGTAAGCAATCGGTGTCGCCCATGGACACCTGGAACACCAGAGTCGTTACAAGTGCATTACCGGCCTTTTGGGGATTAGGAGTTTGAGGATCGTTTGGGATTCAGGGATTGGAGAGATTGGGGAAGGGGAGGGTAATTGGGCCTCCGGTAACCTCACTCACACGACGAAGCACAACGCAAGCGTTGCTTTACGTCGGTTTTCTGTGAGGCCGTGATATCACTCCGGTCAAGCCGGCCCATTCGTGCGGAAGCATGGCTCTCCCACACTTATAAGCTTTGCGGCATTTTGTTACAAATAAGTAGCGTAGTAATATTGTCAAACAGGATTTTGTGATAAAAAAGCGAGATACGTTCCGTAAAATGATTATGCCTGCATGACTTCATCATTATATTTGTGACAGATGCATTAGATAAAAATTTTGTAATTTATAATGTGATGTGTCTTGAATCTCATTGCGACCATACAATCTATTGGGAAATTAATTCTATCGGGTAATATGAGCTAATGAAATTACTTCAATGAGATGTTTACAACTCTTTGAATGCATGTTTTTTTATTTATATGAATTTTAGTTGAGTAATCATATACGATTCGTGAATCGGGACTCGTACGGACACGTATTTTTATTTTCTTACAGAAATGAATACTTTCGACGATATATTGATTTGAAATGTCGCGTGACGTCACTTCTATGTACATTTTATACGTAGAAATGACGTTTTAGCCCCCACTCCTAAGCTTTGATTCGTTTTATATAGGGATTGTTTTATTATACGACAAAATAAAAAAATACGTGTGTAATATTTTTTCATTGCCGGACTAATTATATTTTCAATTTTCATACTCTGTCACCATCCCAATTGTAGATATATTTCTTATATAAGGTCTTTACCTATGGAATTGCCGATCTGCAGTACTGGTCATTTCAAATCAAAATAATTTTTGTTTGGCTAAGAACTCTAATTTCAAATTAATTTTATTTGGAACACATGGAACTTTTTTCCAAAAGTAGTCATTTTCCATTGATTAGTGTTACATTTTCGTCGTTTCATTTTTTTCATATATAACGGCAATTTCATAGGCAATGCCCTTTTAAGTATGTACAAATAAATTTTTTATTTATTGAAAACCATTCAAATATTTGAAGGCCTCATCGCTAAATTAATTTAATGTCATAATAATGTTAATATTTATAAAGAAATGTGGAATTATTATTAATTTATTGAGATGGCGTGACATTAAAACAGTGCTTTTTTATTATTAAACAAGTTTCTGGAATATCTAGCCAATGTTTTGCCAAACCAGTTCTTGTTACTGACATATTGCCAAAATGTGCCACAAAAACGTTTGTATCTAGTTTTATGCATATTTTAAATTTATTCTCTCGATGTTATAGGAAACACGTGTAAGGATTCAATATTAATACGAACATGGTAAAAATATACAATGATATTCTTAAGTCTGAATTTCCGATTGCTGTACCTATGTGCAGTTTTAAATTTAATTTTGAGATGAAAAATTTTAATCACTATATTATTTACTTCATATAAAATACTGTAATACTTATGTATTTTATATTACTTACTCAAATTGTAGTAATATATATAAAATTACAATAAAATTTATGTTAATACCTACTAGGTATATAAATAGTGACGCTGTGCACTGTTATTTCATCAGCATTAGGTACTAACGTAATAAAAGTTGATTTTTATGAAAATAAAAATGAAAATGTACACAGATATATCACGTTAGAAAACTGATTAAGAAATATACGATCCGCAAATCGGAAATAATTGTAGATACAAGAAATGTACTTGTATTTATGCCTATGGAATTGCCGATCTGTTGATCGATGTATATTGATTCGATGTACTGGCCATTTCAAATCAAAATGATTTTTCTTTGTGTGGCTGAGAATTCTAATTTCAAATTAATGAGATTTTATAAACATGAATTTTTGTTTTCTGGGGTTGGGGAAGGAATCTTGCCCCTAAAAAAGTGACGGTCACTGTTTGGTGGTCTAGCGCCGCCCGGTGTGATTCTCCAACCAGCATTGGTCAATCGCTCGTCTCCGCTGCGCCTGAACGACAACGCGGGATCTCATACTACACAGCAGACGGTCTCCAAATTGTAATAACTGGGGTTGGAAGCTCTCCGTCATTCGCTCTACTCACCAGACCTTGCGCCTACAGGCTACTACTTTTTCCAGAATTTGGATAAGTTTTTGGCGGGAATAACTGCAATACCCGAGAGGCGTACAAAATATCTTTGAAGAATGTGTTGCCTCCCGTCCAGCTGATTCCTTTAAGAAAGTCATCACTAAATTAAATAGTGATTCACAGCTCCTCCCCCGTAGTTGATAGCATGATAATATGTCGCCTATATGTTGACCTGACCTGACCTATCCATGCAAAATTTAAAGTAAATCCATGCAACACTTTTTGAGTGCATCCCGGACATACATACCTACAGACAAACAGACATAAATTAAAAAATCCATAATTTTGGTTTCGATACCGACTGTAGATAACATTCAAAGCATTATTTAAAAAAAATAGATTTTAGTACAGTTTTCACTTTTCTATGATTTTATTATATCTATGTTTAGAATAGATTTATCGTTGCTATACGAACTACGCCATGAGAATCTTTGAACATAGGCCAGTGACCTTTTTAGGTACTGGATTTAGTTTTTTATTTTAGAAAAACTTGATAGCGATGTTAATATAATCAAATATTATAAGTGTAGATATTATAATTTTTAATGGGTACTTTATGCATATAAAGTGTACGACTGACGACTAAAACCTGCCGTTAGCATTTTCTATCAGTCTACTTTTGAACTTATTATTATTATCTTGTCTTTATCATAATTTAATAACTTTTGATTATTATCTGGTTATGAGCTTTTTTTTGAGGGGGGAAAATCATCCAATGGCTTCTCCCGGGTGAGGCGAGAGAGAGTGTCAGACTCTTACTGCCTGAAAACCATCCTGTTCCTACTCCTGCACTTCTAACTGGAGCCCCGGCAACCCGTTAAGCCCTCCGCGACTCCGTATCGGCATCAACCCTATTGGGTCCCATCTGTGGTGGTCTGTTGGCACCTTGAGCCGCTCGCGGAATGCAACGTGCCGTACGATCGGGTCTGGTTCTGGTCGGGCGGTCACCCGTGCTCGCCGTCCCCAGCCCCGTGTTTACGGTGGCCGGAGATCGCCTCGTGATCCCCGACGCCCAGTGTCTCTCGCGATGGCTGGGGCGTGAGGAGACTCGTTCTTTCACACATCAGGTTATGAGCATGGATTTACGAATTTGATTGACTCATCCTACATGCCTGTCTTTCCTGAAAGGAAATCATTCCCAAAGCCAAACATTAAACTGCTTAATTAAAACTTTCTGCTGATTTAAGGTCATTATACTACAAATTTAATTCTAATCTTGACGCTTGCCGCGGCGGCGGTGGTGGCTCGGTTGAAACGTGAAACGTGAAGCTTAATACACGTGAGTAAGAGAATAATAATCATTCTATAGGTCTATTGATAAATTATTACCTACTGCAATCAAAGGAATGGTGATGAAAGATTGAAATTTTGTTTGAAAAACATGATATTTTTCCAAACATAGTCTTCTTTTTATTGATTTGTTTTACGTTTCCATCCCATTTCAATCTATTTCGTCATCGAGTACCATAGTGGCAACAACACGGCACAAGCGGCACGCAATATCAACGACGTTTACGGAGCTAACACTATAAACCAACGCACCACCTATTATTGGTTTGCTCGTTTCCGTTTGAAAACTTTGACCTGAAAAATGAACCTCCCGGTCGTCCGAAGACTATGATCGACAATGACAAATTGAAGGCGATTGTTGAAGCTTAAGATACACAATCTACGGCTGAATTAGCAGCAGCAGCAGGTTTCGCGGTTAGCGTCAAAACAATATTGGTCCATTTGCGTCACATTGGCAAGGTAAAAAAACTGGACAAATGGGTGCCCCACGAACTCAATGTCGCCAGCGCGAAGTTCGCGTCGAGACGTGCCTTGCGCTTTTTAACAGAAACACTAATGACGGAATTTTGAACTGCATTGTTACCTGCGATGATATAGAAATGGTTTGTTTGATACCCGTTGAAATCCATCCCCTAAATTTGATCATACAAAAGTAGTCTCAAAACATTGGAAATAAGGTCTATAATGTAGTTACCGTCATCGGTGACCGCTTGGGGATATTTGGGTTTGATACTAGCAATTTCTTAGCAAGTTTGTTGTATCCTGGTTCAGCACCTAAACAATGTCCTGAACGAAAATTTACCCTTAGAAAAATGATGGTCACTGTTTGGTGGTCTAGCGCCAGTGTGATGCTCCAACCAGCATTAGTTAATCGCACGTTATCATTTTAAAATTTATTGCTACTTTCACTTTTTGTCCAGTGATAAGAAACCATTTAATATTTTAAGCTCGAATAAATATTATTATATAGCTACAAAGTAACCTTTTAACCCCGATAATTAAGATATCGATTTATTATCCACTTCATCTGGATAGTCTAGCCACAAAGAATAATCTTAGTTGGATAAATCGTGATTTAGGAGCTAATAATAAATGTTCTTATATCTAAAGTTGTTGGAGACGTAAAAAATATGGTAACAAAATTACAAGGCAAGCCTGATTATGATAGAACGAGTTCATTTTCAGACCGCGTATTTCCTGGTCCGATATTCTATTTATTTTTTGTCAACCGGGAATCGTACCCGAGACTGCTTGATTACCAGTAGCATCTAGAACTAAGGAAGCTAATATCTCCTGAAAATCTTCCCGTTGAACTTAAATGTCTAAATAAAAAAACAAAAAAAAGCCAAAACTTACCAACACTGTCGACAAGGGCGGAGTAAGTGAGGTATAAACTGTAGTCCACCTCGGTGAATTTGAACTTGTACCGAGTAAACCAGTACGTCATCTGCACCTCACCTTTATCCCAAACGAAACAGGTATTAGTCAATCTGCCACCGAGGACGGCAATCTGCAAACATTACCTGTAAAAGGCTCTGTTCTAGCCAACTGCCGATTACATCATTCATGGGGAAAGAAGAAGATGGGAAATGCAAAAATTTGTTTCTTTCTAACCGACCACTTCCCTAAAACAGGGAGTGGAAGTTTATATGAAGAATTTCGTAATTTTCAAGAAACCTTAAAGTAGTAAAGTATCATATTGGTGACCAGCAAAACATCGGGCACCAATTCTTTTTTTTTCTTTTGTAAAACTGCCCTCAATACTTTAAAAGAGCGGGAGCAAAACCGTGGGAAGCTAGTCCACGAAAAGAATGTATTCAGTTAATTGAATTCGTATTTTTGCTTAAACTTTCTGATTCTGATGCAGCTAAATACTATTATTAGTCCTTGAAAACTGTTTTCTATTGGCAGCCAAAGGCTCAAGCAATATAAGGAATTTTATGGGATTATTTTCACGTATCGGGTTACATTATCGAAATTTTCACACGGTTCCCTTTTTTGTGTCTTATTAAATATAGCTTATGCTTACCATCGATAATGTAGGATTCCAACGGTAAAAGAATTTTTCAAATCGGTCCGGTAGTTTCGTAGCCTATTCAATTCAAATGAACAAACAGAAAATCAAATCTTTCCTCTTTATACTATTGGTGTAGATCATCAATATTAGATGGCCAATGACTTCTCAACATTAACATAAATATTACAAGACAGACAGTGATAAATAATAAAACATAATTACCTAATACGGGTCCAACGATGAACATGTATGCACACATGATTAGGATAATTTGTACTCTGCGTGAACCTTCGCGCACTTTGAACGCCACATTCACTGTCGCCACAAAGTCCTTCACGGAAAGCACCGAGAGAATACTCGGCGTCTTGTCGCTCTCTACTTCTTTTGTTTTTTTCGGTTTCTCTTTAAGTTTTAAAATGATGTAAACAAATCCAAACAAATAGAACACACACGCTATCATAAAAACACCGTAATATCCGAACTCTCGTGCCGTTATACCACTGAGCGCCTTCCCTATAGGCCTGCTAAGATTTAATATGGCCGTTATAATCCCTAAACGGAAAGTCCTTTCTGAATCAGTTGTGATGTCGGTGATGTAACTGTAGACGATCATGGTCATAGCAACGCGGCCACCAGCTAGTGCAGGCGGCAGCCCGTCAATCAGCGCGGTTTCGTTCATTCCAACTTGTAGGAAGAACACCGTGCTCAGAATTAGGCCGATGGTTGATATTAATTTCCCTAGAATAGGTAGCACCATAAAAGTTTTCCGATTGCCGATTCGATCGCTCCATGCTCCTAAGAAGAGTGTTATAATTCCTGACATAGCTGTCTGTAATGGGAAGCTCCAGGCGGTCATCGAGGCAACCATTGTTTGTACATTTTTCTCTTGTTCCGAATAATTGTGCGTGCGACCCTGCATTATATGGGTGCAGGTTTGCTCGTCGTATTGCAGATTTACTAGACATGATTTCTCTAAACACAGATTCTGGACAGCCAACCCGGCGAGTACACTAGGCAACATGTAACAAATAACAAAAGGTTCCACTGTAACTTTCGACCTAAAAGCCCAGGACTCTTTGAGGAATTGTTTCAGTCTTTTGCTCAATTTCGTTTCTGTTTTCTTGAGCTCGGAGCCGCATTGTTTGTTGCACTTGCATGGTTCCACACTCGGGATCTTTTCTCCGGGCACTTCGACGGGTAACGACATTCTGACAGTAGTTTAACACTTTGTCGTTCAGTTGTTATTTAACATTCTTTAAAACGAGAACAATTCTATGGAATTATTATTTGTTTAGTTTGTGTAGACGGAAAAATATATTTTCTTAAATTTTTATTTTATTTTATATTTCACTAGTAGCACGTTTAACGGGGAGTGTTCAGTTGCGCGTGCGACAGTCGATTGCGTATGCGCTGCGGGTGTCGCGGGCGACTATATAATGTGTACGACTGTGTATCGTCATCATAAACACAACTTTGCGATATTTATTTGAGTCTATAAGAGAGGTGTGTGTAAAATAAAGTATGTGCAATAATGTGTAGTAACGAAATTAAATAATATTCATTGAAATAAAACCATATTATTTATTTGTCATGAAACATAGGGGTGTCGGGGACTTTTTAAAATTAATTTATACTTTGTGCCGGGCAGTCGGACTTGCGACCACTCAGCCAACAAGCCAGTCAATTAGTTAAAGTACAAATCGTGTTTAGTCTGTTTTACTTTAAATAAATCATAATTCTTCAAACTCAAAACGAAATCAAAAACATGGTAGGTAACAAGATGTTGAATAAAATGTTTGTAAACAACATGACGTTTAGCCGTGGAACACTGCACGAAAAAGTATTGTTAAATGAAATAAATTAATATGAATGAATCATTTTACATTATAATCAAATTAGTATTAGATAAATAAGAATTTATTAAAATGTCAAGTCAGTTAATCAAAGTGAACATCAAGTCAATTATACATCTACACTAATAGTATAAAGAGGAAAGATTTGATTTTTTGTTTGTTTGTTTGAATTGAATAGGCTACGAAACTACCGAATCGATTTGAAAAATTCTTTTACCGTTGGAATCCTACATTATCGAAGCTGAGCATAGGTTATATTTAATAAGAGAGAAAAAAGGGAACCGTGTGCATATTAGGAGAAACCTACAGTTGTTTGGTAAAGTGTCTGACAGACACCACTATCAAACTAGACATAAGGAAAGTCAGCCACTTTTTAGATTGACAAAAGTAGGTACGTAAGTCCTTTATTGGACTTTGTGTTAAACGCTATAATAAAATTCCGAAGGAAATACAACGCTTAAATTAAACAAAATTCAAATAATGTATTGAAAAACGTTACGTAGACAAGCATATTACAAACATACTTATTAGAAGATAAAAATGCTTGGACGCAGGCTGATCTTGACATTATAAACCGCCTTGCTTAGAAGCCTAAATTAATGCATATTTGATTATTATTTTTTTGTGTAAGTGATTATATTTTCGTGTTGTGAATTTGCTTGTCTATTTTTTTGTACCTAAGTTAAATTTCAGACACAATCTAAATTGTTAAATGAATGAATAAATGAAATGAAATGAAAAAAGATCCGGCTCCACAGGATAACGAAAAACATTGATGTTTCAATGAGTTTCAATCATTTAATAATACAGTATTATTATTTTTTAAGGGGGAAAGTCATCTAATGACTGCTCCCGCCTGGGTGGCGGAAGGGAGTGTCAGACTCATACTGACTAAAAACCACCCCGTTCCTTCTCCTGCACGTCGAGCCGGAGCCCCGGTTACCCGTTAGGTTCTCCGCGACTCCGAACTGTATAGTATACAGCCTTAGATTAATAGGCGTTATAATTCTATGAAGTATACAGTATACAGCCATGTTGTTCAAATGAAACAATTTTACATAAGTATGTAAATTTAAGTGTGGGAGAGCCATGCTTCGGCACAAATGGGCCGGCTCGACCGAAGTCATACCACGGCCTCACAGAAAACCGACGTGAAGCAACGCTTGCGTTGGGTTTCGTCGTGTGAGTGAGGTTACCGGAGGCCCAATTACCCTCCCCTTCCCCAATCTCCCCAATTCTTGAGTCCCCAACGATCCTCAAACTCCTAATCCCCAAAAGGCCGGTAACGCACTTGTATCACTTTTGGTGTTCCAAATGTCCATGGGCGACGCCGATTGCTTAGCATCAGGTAATCCGTCTGCTCGATTACCAGCTTATGCCATAAAAAAATGTAAAATTGTAGTGGCATAATGTGCACCTCTGCTAACCCCTTCGGGGATAAAAGGCGTGATGATATGTTGTAAATATGTAAAATAAAAGTAATTGTGTGAGCCCTGTTACTAATTAAATCAAATTAGACTGGTAAAATACATTTGTGTCATGCAGCCTGATCACTCAAGAGTCTCATTGGAGTAGCATGGGTAGTGGATCGCTCTATTCCCTACAATATATGAGTGAGTTGGGCGGTACTGGTGTACGTGTCATGTTCGTGAACGAGCGCTGTCAACTGGGACTGCTCAACTCCCTCGAAACAATAACTAAAGCATCAACTCCGGACTGTATAATTTTTTGTGGTCAAGGTTATTTTCTTTCTATTTCTCCTTGATTGAATTAAAGTGTTGCATTATTTTCACACGTTTGAACCTACAAAAAAAAATTAACTAAGAATATTGTATTGTGAATCTGATTGAAAAAGAGTAACTTATGGAGTTTATAGCTTAAGCGACATCTATTGTCGAGTAGTGATACTGTACGCTGTCCTATTTAGTTCTTTTGTTTTTGTATAGATGTCGCTAGTTTCGTAAACAAATTATACTTTTTATACAAAAAATGTGCAATAATTACAAAAATAATAAGTACCTTCAGTAACGTTCGTTCAACAAAATACTAAATATTTATAAAGCCGTCTCTAGAATATAAAATTTCTTTCTAATGGCAACACTTCTATTGTCACTGTCAACTGTCATTTTGACAAAAACAAATCAACACTCGATTTGTCATTCATTTGTTTGACGAAAATAGTTAAAATAAATAAATAGTTAAATTTAATACTTTAGTTGTAGTTAATTTTAAGTTGTAAATATTTATGTAGTTATATAAATGACGAAAATAATACCTGATAAAATTTGTAGTATTATTTTTTTACTCTATTTATCGCCAAAATTTGGAACACATTCAAGAAGAAAATGAAGCTTGAAGTATATAAAATTCCTGAATCGACTACTTAATCTAATTTCATGTACATATTTATAAATTCAGAGGTCATTCGCAGAAAAGATCATCTTTGTGGTAAACAATGAATATAACAAGATTACATATGACAAAGCAACTTCTTAGATACGCAGTGCTTGTAAAAAATGTCCAAAGAATGATCCCAAACAGTGATTATTACTCTACAATGACTTTAGATTCATTTGCAAATGAGATATTTGAGCGGCATAAAACGGTCAAATTTCAGAGAAGTGATCTAGCCGAAGCGAATACACAGTACGTATACAGGTGATAAAACTAACTTATCTTCAATGAACCCGGAGAACAAAGTTACTGAACTATTTGGCAGAAACTGGGACAGAGATGTAGTGGAAATATAAATCAATGTAAGAAATGCAAGAAATTACTGACTTATGCTACAGTTAAGAAGCTAGTCTGAGAAAGTTGCCATAATACAAGAATACTGTTTGAAAGTTGATCCCGTCTCATATCCTGAGTTCCTATATTCCTATTTAATATATTTTTTGACCAGATGCTGGCCCATGAATTTTTTAAAACATCTGATGTTCTTTTAGGGGTTATTGGAGAAGAGTAAGTAGATATTATAAAAATTATACCTGTAGCATTTTAAGCTAAGTTATGGGCCTTTGTGAGTTTATGTCCGTACACTAAGTATAATTCTAGATTCCAGTTTTTTTATTATCTAAAAAAACTATAACTAGTATGGTTCTTTACCAACATATTATTTAAAGCTAATATGCAATGTCTTCTCGATATTTCTTCTTTCTATTGTACTAAATCAGACATTTCACCGTGTTTCAGGGCAACAGCTTTCAGTATAATGGCTCTAAAGGACTTCAATGAAGACACAGTGGTCAGATTACTGCGAACTTTACTTAAATATGAAATGATGACGGAGTATGTAGCTGTGTTACAAGTGTTGTTCAATTATAAATGTAAGTTACGGCTTATTGCAGACGTTGTATTATGCAATGGATTGATAAAAATAAGAGGCATTGATAATTATTGTTCGAAGTGGTTACAAGATCATAGGGCGATCAAAATTTAATAATAAAATAATAATTATTATTCAAAGTTGTTGCATCCCTCTATAGATGGCCTTAATATCGAGATAGATCAGGCTATGGTTTTGTTACATCAATTTGATTAGGTTCCTCATCAAATGTGATGTTGTCGAGTACAACCAGCACCCTTAGCGGGAAAAAGAAAGTAAATAAAAAGTGAAGCAACAGTGGTGTTTGTGTTGTTTCTCAAAATCTCTCAGAAGCCGACCCTCTTTTCAACCTAGAGAGATGAGGCAAAGGGTATGGGTGTTTAAATGTAAAAGAGGTTTTTGCCGAATACCAGACACAATTTGGGGCGGGGCTTGGGCAACTGGCTGATGTGCAATGTCTAGCGGCTACGATTCCGGCATGGAACAACTTTTTGTGTTATCTACAAATGGTTGTTTAAGTCTGGGTGTCAAGTGTATGTGAAATTGTATGTTTGTAAACGCACCCATGACACAGGAGAAAATACTAGTGTGGGGCTAGGTTTAAAAAAAAATCACATTTATTTTAGTTAATACAGTACCTAACATAATTAAAAAGCTGTGAAGGCCCTATAGTATTTTGCTGAACCTGAGAATCGATCCCGTAACCCCTTATTTGGCCATCGCGCTTGTCCCCTCTACCATCGAGAATCGAACATAAAAACACCTATTATAATAATATCAAAATTTTCTTATAGTTAGGTTACATCCTACTGTACCTTTTTTTATATTTGATGGGGCGACGTTTGACCACTATCTCACCTGATAGTAAGTGATGATGCAGTATATGATATAACTACGATATATTAGAGGCCACCCACAATTATCTGTATATAGGTCACTTTCTACACAATCAAATACCTAGTACACTAACTTCCTTCACAATAGCATATTATTATTATTATCACAGTGTCCCAGTTCGTTAGGTCTCTGATCCCGGCGCAGGCGCCCAGGCGTCCTACAATGATGTTGTAATAAATCTAGTACTTATCTACTTCAATTGATATTTTATTACCGTTATAAAT